GTGGCATTCCTTCCACAGAATGAGCCACAGACATCTGGGCATGTGACAAAAATCTCAGCCTGCAAGAATGCATTTTGACTCTTTTTTCCCCCTCCCAGGTTTATTTAAATAGTCCATTTTCAAATGAGCCATGTGACAAAAGAGTAAAATGTTTTGTAAGTGGTCCACCAAAATGATTCACACCGATCCCACGTTTGCAAGAGCTGATTATAAAAACACAGTTCAACTGAAAATGAACCAGCGTGAACCTTGCAGAGGTTCTGGGGGAAGGACGGTGTTCTGAACAGTGGGAGTCATATGGAAAGCATCTTCTTTGTCTGAGTCTGTGTTTTTAGAAAGCTACATCAGGAACTCATTTTCAAAACCTTTWGAATCGCAACTTTTGTGGCTTGTTTAACTTTGACAAACAAAAGTTATTCAGCGTTGAAAAGACAGCGTTTCAATTAGAAGCCTGTGAGATTGTAAATAGTACTGTAAACGCAGTTATTGTGCAATCTAAGACCCGACAACAACAGTCTGAGCTCAGACGGCTGAATATTAGAAGTTCTATTAGAAGTAGTTTTCTATAATCAACTCCTGCAGAGACAAACAGAAGTATTTAGCAGATTAAAAARACTCGATGGGTCACCTTTGCATGGTTTACAGGAGACAATCCCCAGGAATCCCAGCAGGCTGATTTCATTCATGGGCAGACTGGAGTTGGACCATGCCGTGTCCAGGCGGCTCCCATCACAGCACTCCTCTCTGGTCACCCCTCTCATCAGCACCATGGCACACCGGTGGTCCTGACCCTGCTGCAGCCAACAGATTCCAGCTGGAAATAGTCCACACAGATACACAACGAAAGGTTTTTCAAACATCACTTCTATTTTGTTACTTATGTGTTTCTTTTCTACTCTTACATRAGATCTGTCACGGTGCTAACAAAATAGAGTTGAAGTAAACTAAAAATGTTACAGCAAAATATGTCTGAGGAAGAGTATGTCATTATTTTTAAAAGGTGCAAAACTCTTTGGTCAAACTAAAAACAACTCTAAAACAGTCCACTCACCAATMGCTGGGTTCCTGCCGATTTGACAGAGAATCACGATCATCCCCAAAACAGAAATCAGAAAGGTCATTGTCTAATCTTAGTTGTCTGGAACTTCTTTCCAAAAGAGTTTTCAAGCAAATTTTTGCCAAAAAAACAGAAAAAGAAGACGACAAAGAAAAAAAAAGAGTGATGTCCCTTTGTCACAGAAAGCAGATGACTTGAACTCCACTGAGCACGCAGCTTTCCCCTCCTGTGAATGGATGTGTTGTGGATAAGTGATGTCGTTTCCTCTCTGTATAAATATTTAGCCCAGATGGAATCATGCGGCTGGGATGGGCGATTCTCTCAGCCAGTAATAAGCCAGGGCAGGACCCAGTCTGACTCTGACTCAATCTCCAGAGTCGGGAAATGATCAGTGCCCTCCAGCTCCAGACACTGGGCACTTACATGACCTCACAAAGCKTTTCTTCACACCATATTAGACTTATTGAAAGGATAACTATGTCCTCAAACTAACTTTATTTTTTTGTTTGTTTTTTTATTAGTTTTTTTTATTAAACTTCTGTTACCAGACAGTTGTGTTTTCTTATTTAGTTCCAATTTAAGAATACTAAAATCACCTTTTTTGCATTAAGACCTTCTAATTTGGCCTTTTATTGYTTGGAGTGTATATGCTCTGTCTCATCTTTCATGTCACTCAAGGTTTTAACAGTCCTCATAATTCATAMATGGTCTGATTATTGTAGTTTTAAGTTGCTAATAGTTTGATCCAATAACCARCAGCAGTGATTCTTTAATGTAAAAATGAGTGAGTGACTAAAAATTAATTTGTGTGACTCCAAACAATCAATTCAATAATGACAAAAAACAATTCCAATGACGTTAGGACATTGTGTAAACATTAATAAAAACAGAATAGATTAGATTTGCAAATCCTTTTCAAACTATAATCAAATGAATCAACCGAATAGGCTAATCAACTGAACACACTACAAAGACAAGATATTTAAAGTTCAAACAGATGGTTGCTTGTTTTAATTTAATTTAATTTAATTTAATTTTATATTTTTGCAAATATTAACTCATTTTGAGTTATGCCTGCAACACATTCCAAAAAAGGTGGGACAGAGTCAAGAAAAGACTGGGAATGTTGAGGGATGCCCCTCAAAGTCCCCCATAAGTGAACAGGTTAACTGAAAACAAGTGTGTGCCATGATTGGGTATACAGACAGCATCTACGAAAGGCTCAGTCCTCATCATACACTTGCAAAGAATTTAGGGATTTCATCATCTACAGTCCAAAATATCATCAAAAGATTCTGATAATCTGGACAAAAAACAACAACATTGGATGAATYCCTGTGCCCTTCAATCCCTCAGGTGGCACTGCATTAAAATCCAATATCATTCTGTAAGAGATATTAGCACATGGGCTCAGCAACACTTCAAAAACCCATTGCCAGTGTCATCGCTACATCTACAAGTGCAAGTTAAAACTCAAAACCATACATCAACTGTAAGCAGAGTGGTTAGGGGAGTCGTCCTGGAACTGGAAAGTCGCCGATTCGATCCCCCGTCCAGCTGTCTCAGTTGTYTCCTTGGTKAAGACACTTCACCCCTAATGCCTCTGTTGTGTGTCTCATCAATGTGTGAATGTGACTGGCACTGGTTAGTCTCCACAGATGATTGTATATGTTAGCTTTGTAGGTAAATGTAAATGAGGGCACAGATTGTAGTGTGAAGCGCATTGAGTATCCTGGTTGGGTAGAAGGGCGCTATACAAGTACAGACCATTTACCATCAACAACACCCAGAAACACAGCCGGGTTCTCTGGGCCSGAGCTCATCTGAGATGGACTGACTCAAAGTGGAAAGGTTTCCTGACTGACGAGTATTCAATTCATATTGTTTTTGGAAATCATGGACGTGCTGTCCTCRGGGCTAAAGAGGGAAAGGACTCTCCAGATTGTTATCAGCGCCAAGTTCAAAAGCCAGCCTCTTTGATGGTATGGAGGTGTACAGTATTAGTGCCCATGGCATGGGTAAGTGTCACATCTGTGAAGGCACCGTTAATGCTAAAAGCTACTGTACATGCAGGGTTTGGATCAACATGTTTTGCCATTCAAGTCACATCTTTTTCAGGGACGTCGTGCTTATTTCAGCAAGACAATGTTGAGCCACATTCTGCACGTGGTAAACCTGTGTGGCTTAGTAGTAAAAGAGRGAGGGTATACTAGACTGGCCTGCCTGCAGTCCAGACCTGTCTCCCATTGAAGATGTATGATGCATTATGAAGAGCAAAATATGACAATGAAGACCCCAGACTGTTGAGCGTTTATCAAAAAATGGGAAAGAATTCCACTTAAAGCTTCAACAGTTACTGTCCTCAGTTCCCAAACACTTATAGAGTGTTAAAAAGAAAGGTGATAAACATGTCTCTGTTCTAGCTTTTTTGGAACGTGTTGCAGGCATCAAATTCAAAACAAATGAATATTTGCAAAAAAAGGTTATTCTATTTGAACATTTAATATCTTGTCATTGTATTGTATTCAATTAAATATAGGTTGAAAAGAATTTGTAAATCATCATATGCTGTTTTTATTTGTTTTACACAAAGTCCCAACTTCATTGGAATTGGAGTTGTACATGTTTTTCAAGGCCTGACAAGGTTTTTTTTCTAACCTGCGTTACAACTTTTTAAAATCTATCCATACTTTATCTGTGAGCGCTTTTGTTTCCCTTCATGTGTTGTTACAATATTGGTGTGAGATTAGACGAGAGGGAGGAAAAGGAGTGACGACGGTCTGCCCTTGAGGAGCTTTTGGATGAATGAAATCACTCTATCAGAATATAAACATCTGCGACGCTGGTCTCCCCATTTGCACTCATTCACCCCTTGACTGAAGTTAAGTGAGTAAACTCGTCCATCTGTCCCATTTTTTATGTCATTTTGTTTTTATTGTACGCCTTTGATTGTTGGGGCCAAAATGAAGGTAGTGTGTGCTGCAGGATCTGAGCTTTTGCGAATGATGTTGGCCTTCTTCAACCCAGATCCCCAGGGCAACAGAGGAATGCTGCCTGAGGAGGGGAGGAAAGAGGAAAAAGGAGCAATGAGTGATAACAGTGGGTGGGCTGCCTCTGCAGATCCACTCAGCCCATCATATGGTTTGGATCACTGCTGCTAAGCCGTACAAATGGATACAGCATGGTCTGGACTTTGGTGCACCCTCTGTATGATCTTCATTGGGCTTAATGGAGAAATAACAMCCTTTGAAATTGGTATGTCTGGTTTCATTAAATTAAAGGCACACAAATCAGAACTGGTCCAATGTGAAATAAAAAGAGTGTATCTCAAACAGGTGCGGGTCTCAGTGTCAGACACCACTGTTGGGAGCATAGAGAAGAAGGTAGAAAACACCACTGCCATCTAGTGGAAGAGGTTGTCAATCACAACTTCACATCTTAATGCCATTAAATTAGCTTTTTTAAATGCCACAAAATCATTTATGATAAGCTTTTYTTAAAATACTGATCTGGAAAGCAAGATGAGCATAAATTTTAGTTTTTTAGGTTGATGTTAGCATGAACCTGGGTCAGTTTGGATTTGCTTGTTAAGCTGACAAGACAAAGTTCAAGGGACATTTCATCGTTGGCTGAAAGTTGATGGAACGCTGGCAATGATTCCCAGTCCAACTAGCCTACACGGAAAGTACTCCCGCTGTTAAATATTTGCTAAAAACACCAACAGGCAAAATGAAAACATCATCATATTGTCATCATGCTCAATGTGAATCAGTATGCCCACCTAACACAAAAAAATGAAAGTTAGATGGCCATACGAATCAAAATCGTATCATCATATCATCAATCAAATAAATAGATATAATATTGAGATAAAGCAGGTGCTTTGTCATTGTACAGAGCACATGAAATATGATTCATTACAACCCATTCAAGAGAGGAAAAACAAAACATACATGGGGGGACGAGTGCCTGAAGCTGCAGCCATTGAAAAGCACTGCTCTTTTTGCATTAAAGAACAACAAGAATTACGTGGCACTGTCTTATAACTTAGCATCCCATCATTTTGACTTGGTATCCTAGAGTTAGGGGATGTTACAATGTAAGTCATAATGTTCAGAGTGAGCTATATTCCTTAAATCAGGGGTGACCAAACTACGGCCCACGGGCCTCAGTTGGCACGCGGTCCAGTTTTTATTGGTCCARAGCAAWTTCTGAAAATATAATTGAAWATGGCCCGCACAAGAAGTTTGASCTCAACTCTGTTGCACTTTTCAGTTTCAACACTGGATGGAGCCAGCCACAGAAATGAAATRARAGAGYGGAGAAGAGAAGAAYAACCTTTTTGTGACTGCMACACTGTGTTCAGTTRGAGRCTCCAGAAATGGTGGCGCCAAAGAAACGAAAAATAGCAAGTGAGTGTAGGAGATTTCAAACACGGTGGGAAAATAAGTATTTTTTTCAAAGAAATCAACGGAAAGTGTGTATGTTTGATTTGCAATGAAGACGCTACTGTGATGAAAGAATATAATGTTTGTCGGCATTATAAGAGCAAACATCAGAGCCACACCTCGTATACTGGTGCCGAACAAACACAGAAAGTCAAGCGAATGGCAGCTAGCCTGCAAGCTCAACAGCAGTTTTTTTGTGCTAACAAAATACAGGAAAATGCCACAACAGCAAGTTATGAAGTTGCTAAACTTATTGGCCAGCACGACAAACTGTTTTCAGACGGTGATTTCATATAGCAGTGTCTCATCAAAGTCACAGAAATAATGTGGCCAGAAAAAGTGCCTGATTTCAACAATGTGAGCTTATCCAGAAACACGGTGGTGTGGAGAATTGAGGACTTGTCGGCTAACTTGAAACTTCAGCTGGGAGACAAAGCTTGTGGTTTTGATTTAACATATCAGCCATCCTTCAKTCCAAAGGACAGCATCACTGCTCCCACTGAGTGCAATGTTCTTCACATGGGTGAGTTAGAAATACACACATTATTGATGTATCAATGTGTCACTTCTAGTGTGTGGCCCGGCCTTATACTATAAATTTACTTATTTATTTTTCTGTATTTGGCCCTTACTAAAAAAAGTTTGGACACCCCTGCCTTAAAGTCACAGTGTGTAGGATTTTGTCAATTCTTTTAGCCGAAATTGAGATAATCACTAATGACAATAATAAAAAACATGTCTAATCATTGCAGACAAAGACCTTGTTTTATTATTTTTACCTTATAAAAAGCTGTTTATATCTCCATTTTTTATTTTAAATC